TATTCTAATCTGTTATTATATTACCTCATTCATTACTATGTGTGTGCGTGTGTTTTTTATATATGGTTTTTTTGTAGTTTGTTTTTTTAATCCTATGGGTCATTTCGTACCACCGGGGTTGTATTATTCACATTTTATAATACTTCTAAAGCGAATATCTCTGAAAATTTCAGTATTTCTAAAAAGGTCATTTTGACAGACTGCTATGCAAAGCGTACGGATCGGATTAACGAGTAAATTTCCTCTTTGGAAAGTGGTGGCACAGAGTTCCCCACGTCATATGGATACGATAGTAAAACATGACGTATGGATAGGGTTAATAGAGGAATGTTTTTGCCCATATAGACAAAATTTGATCATTCAGGAGGGGGGGGGGGGGAGTACAAAAGAAAAAGTATGTATCTTTGTCGAGATAACAACAAATAACAACTGAAAACAACAAAAAACAACTGATAACAACAAATAACAACTGATAACAACTAATAACAACTGATAACAACAAATAACAACTGATAGCAACAAAATAACGACAAACATCAACACAAACGTCCTAATTTAGAGTTGCTTTTACTTGGTTTTTAAGGTACTCTACACTTAGAAATCTATGCATTAACTGATAACAACAGATAAATACAAATAACAACTGATAATATCAACACAAACGTGCTAACACAAGTTGAACAATCCAATACAACTTTTTAATAATGATGTTTTCAGTGTCACACAATACTGTATAACAGGACAACAGGTGATGACACGAATACATACGGTCGCTTTTAAGCACATAGGGGCTATCCCGAAAAATGCGGTTTTGAGAAGAAAAAAAAAGGTTACGTTTTGCCTCTTGTTCAGTTTCTTTAAAAGACAAGAAGAGTTTTTTCTACAACCAAAAAAATATACACACACCAATGAAACCAAACTTCTCCTATAGGTAGGGCAATGCCCACTTTTGGTGTAGGTCAAGATTTCTGGAAACCCCCGAAATCTGGGTTAGCCCGCTCGTCCTTAAAAGCGACCAACAACAGGACAAACCGGTACTGAAACTACAGGACTTGTCAGATCCAGGCTATACAATCATACAAATGGAATTTATTGTATTTTTAATCAACTGATCAATTTGATTTTAAAGTCTCAAAATGCCATATCACGCACGTTGGTGAGGAAAATAAAAAGAAGATACAGGATTGTTGGGTTGTTGTTTTTTTTTCGCTATATTGTTACTTTCAATTTTAATGTAAACAAAAAAGGGACGTAACTCCGGTCATGGCTAATGGCTAAAGAAAATTCAACTTCTGGTAGTTGCTCGGAGTAATGCATGTAAAGTAGGGGCCGGTTGATCACATGAATATTGATTTTGAGGCTGGAATCAAAGTATTTTAGTGTTATCAGTTGTTATTTGTTGTTATCTCGACAAAGATCAATACCCCGAATAGAAATACGATTTTGTAGTTGCGCTGAAGTTGAGCTTTTTTCTCTTATTGTGTCTGTGTCATTTATAAAAAGGATTTTATTTCAAATATTAAACTAAAAATTGTTTTCTAAATAAAAATTATCCTTTTGGGGCATTTTTTTAAAAGTTACCTGTTTAAATTGTTTCAGAAAACTCCTATGCCAATTTCAGACGCGTTAAACATAATTTGCATTTTTTAATCAGGTCAAAATTAGAGCAATTACCATTGCGTTTAATACGGAAAGCAAATGATATAGCAAAAGAGACATAAATGAAAAATAAGGACCGTTTCGAAAGTGATATTATAAAAAAAAGGCCCAAGGTGAATTACTTTAGCCGATTTAATTCTCTCTAGTTTTCAGTCTTGCGTCCCCTCGAATTTAAATATTTTTCACAGCAGGTCATGAGAGAAAAGGCTAGCAGCTGCTTCTCCTCTGTGTGTGAGTTTGTGTGTGTGTGTGAGTTTGTGTGTGTGTGTGTGTGTGTGTGTATGTGTGTGTGTGTGTGTGTGTGTGTGTGCATGTGTGTGTGTGTGTGTGTTTGTGTGTGTCTGTCAGATGAACCGTTTACGTTTTTTTAGAGGGTTTTTTTTAGTTTACTTTTGTTTTTGTTTTTTTCTTGCGTTAAATGACAGAGAGCTGTAGCCACATAAACGCAGACGCTGGTCCTCATTTCTTTTCTTTTTTTTTCTTTTCTTTTCAATCTTATTTTTAAAAATATTTCATTTCATCTTACCATTTCTTTAAAACCAGCCATCCAACCAACCAACCAACCAACCAACCAACCAACCAACCAACCAACCAACCAACCAACCAACCAACAAATCAATCAATCAATCAATCAGTCCGTCAATCAATCAATCAATCAATCAATCAATCAATCAACCAGTCGGTTGGTCGATCAGTCAATCAGTCAATCTATCCATCTATTAATCAATCAATCAATCAATCAATCAATCAATCAATCAGTCTGTCAGTCAGTCAGTCAGTCAGTCAACCAGTCAGTCAGTCAGTCAGTCAGTCAGTCAGTCAGTCAGTCGGTCAATCAATAAATCAAACAATTAATCAATAAATCTGTCTATTAATTTATCAATCTATCAATCAATCAATCAGTCAATCAAGCAATCAATCAATCATTCTCACTCCCCAGGTGTGCGGTTCCAGGACTGAGCAACGACACCTATGAAGTCCAGAGCCCCCAACATTTAGAACTGGTCAACACCTCTTTGACCTCTGACCCTATCACAGGAGCTTATGGAAAGTGCTCACTGACCACGCACCCTGCACACCCGGCTGGTAACCTCAGTGCCAACTCTACAATGGCGATCACGTTGAGTGGAAACACTTCCACAGAATACTGCCCACGCTGGGTCTATAGTACTGAAGTGTTTAGCTCCACACTCGCGGCAGAGGTGGGTGATGGTCTGAACCGAAACAATTTTTATCGTTGAAGTGAAGAGAGGTCACCATAGGCAGGTGGTCCTCTTGTACAGTGTTATATATATATATAATTTTTTTTATATATTTGTTTTTATTATTTAGGGGGGGGGGGGGGGGGTAAACCGAAGGGGCGGGATGCAGAAAATATTCGGAGACGTCTCTGGCGAGCACCCAGGAACTATTCTGAGACGTACTTGCTCACACAGATGCACTGCTTTGGGAGTCAAACTGAGTTTTGTTTGCTGCAGATCACACGTATAGCCTCTAATACTGTTGCAAATCAATCCTTTTGAAGAAAATTGCAAACCTAACTGCAAAATATCAAACTATGGGTTGAAACAGGGGGCATGCCCCCCTGTAACTCCCCCCCCCCCCCCTATTTTTATAACTTGGTCCAGAGGCACACAGCATTTTGATTGGTCTATCTTCGTCGGAGACGTCTCCGGATAGAAACTGTGGGGCGGGGAAGGGGAGGTGGGAAGTGTGCGCTTGATTGTCTTGGACAGGTGGGCGTTAGAGCACGTTTGGCTGTAGCAAACCCTTTCGGCCTATAGATGGGGGAAGAGAAATTACGCTATTTTGAGCTTTGCTATAGCTGTAGAGACTTACTTTACTTTTACTCCTTTTTTTTCGCTTGTACCGGTGGGTGTCGCGGGGAGACACCGGCGTCTGTCTGCAGCAAGGCGAGTGGCCTGTAGGAGGGACATCCCGTGAGCTCTGAGGGTGTCTGCCACAGATTCACTCCATCATCGCCTTGGTCTTCCTCTGGCTCTCCATCCAGAATATTTAATGTAGAGAAGAGTGAACAATACCAACTCATTCTTTAGGTTAAGGCGACAAAAGACACCTCGTAAGTTTCGCCGAACGACTTCAACACTATTCCCTTGACATGGGAAACCCTAGCTCTTCAAATATCCAGTTGGAGAGCATCAGTCACGGTGGATAGAAAATCCTTTCGGACTTCATGAATTAAAAATGCTGAAGCCAAGACGTGAGAACCTTCTAAGATACACCACATATCCACAAAATGGAAATTAAGCCGTTAAATGATTTAAATATGGCTCTGCCAGAATTGATCTCAGTAGCCATAGCTGAAGCCACAAGTCATCTCAATCCATTTTGTTTTCAAGAAAATAATTTATTCTCCTGGGTAGATGCATTGGTCATAGGCAGGCAAACACACACGAGTTATTATACTAATCACTTGAAGGCAGAGGTATGCACAATAACCGGTGTATATCATCACATTGCTGATGTATTCGTTCATTTCTACCTTAGAGTCAGGGGTGGAACATGCAGGCAGATAAAAGAAAATGGGAATATTTGATGGTAGAGGTTTGTGTAAAAATCATGAAACGATATATTTAGCCCTGCACATGTTTCAAGAAAGGTGCGGATGGACTGTACTGGCAAATTATTTAGCTCTTCGTTGGTCTTTGATTATTGTATATTATGTTTAACACCCTTTTCAGTTTAGTGAAGTCATTTAAAGGGCGGAACCTCCGGTTTCAACGACCATCTCCGATACGAATGAGCCTTTAAAAAAATCAAAACGCCCCCTTTGGGATTCGAAAACGGTCGTCCGCTCCAGAGTCCAACACGATACCAACTGAACAAACACAGCACCCCTTCAGCTTTTTGTAAGCCTCAGGGGTGAGTGCATCATGAGCAAATGAGAGTGTTATTATGATTTGCTTAGCTTTGTTTCTAAATCAGTTTTTCCCAGTAAAACACCTCATGTAGATCACTCCACATCCAAAGCAGTTAATTGGTCCATTGATTTTTTTTTTTTAAGAAGAGGAAAGAGGGAGAAAAGGCGAAAAGGGTGAAAAGGAAGAAATTATCTACCAAAACATAATACTTATGTGCTTCACTTATTTCTGGGTATTGTAGTTTTCACGAATCATTCTACCAGATAATCAAAATCGGGTTAATTGATTTTTAAAAAACGACAACAACAAAAATATGAAAGAAGACCTCTTCGATTTTTCCTTGCCAATCCATAGCGTGGAACAGCAAACTGTATGAAGCGAGAGTTGTATTTAAACCACAATCTACCGACATCCACCCTCAATCCCCCCCCCCCCCCTTTCCAAAAAAAAAAAAAAAACAGAAGTAAAAACAAGAATGAAAACACGAGACTGACAAGGTGCAATAACACTCTGATGTTTTTCGCCCATCTTTTTTCGTCCAGTTGAACTTCGTCTGTGACAGACAGATCCTAACAGCTTACGCAAACATCGGTACAATGTCGGGCTCGATGGCCGGTTCTCTTATCAGTGGAGTCATTGCAGACAGGTAAGGGTTATTAACTTCAGGTACTGTGTGGCACTGATGGAAATATTGTGACGGTCCTAAAGGAAACAGACGTAAAATTACGCTTCTCAAATTATGACTTACTCGCTTGGTACCCTGTTCGATGAACGGACTCTTTACTTTACTTTTCCGATCCAGGATGAACGGAATCAAAAGAACCGATCCTCAAGACACTGTGGATTTACTGCGCACTGCATGTGAACGGAAGTCTCACTTGTTAACAATGGCGTCTTAGAAGATGGACTTTCCCAAGATTAGATCTAAACGAAACTAATTAAAAACTGAAGATTAAACTACAGAAACATCAGACTCCTTAATATAACTGTGCACCCTTTAAATAATTCTGAACCACCGTTAATTTTTTTTTTCGAAAGTTAAGTGGTTGGGAAGTTTTAGGCGGCCAAAGTAACCACCTTTCACAAATATAATATGTATAGATTAGTGTTGATAGAGGCGTTAAATCTATACGCTTAATTACTTTACTGGAAGGAAATCTATCTTATCATCATAATATACGAGTGGCTGACAATGTTGGTGGGAGTGGCTTTATAAACTCATACACTTAATTACATGACTGGAATGAGATTTCATTATTACGATATACTAATTGTTGAGAAGAAATCCGTAATTTGATACTAAAGGTGTGCGTCTATCTCCTTTTAACAAAGGGGAATCTAATAAAATTCTTAAAATTCTCCTTGGAAAGAGGGTTTTTTGCACGCAAGAAAAGTATCTTTAAAAATACACTATTTATACGATTTGAACTTCTATTCTCACTCTTGCTAAATTTTGATGCGTATGCGCCTTGTTGAAGCTTGAATGTTATTGTTTTAGAAAAGGTTGAGCTATTGACAACTAAACCGAGAAGAGGTGCATGGCCACGAAGAACAAAAATAGTCGAATCTCAGTCGGACTCTGCAGATGAGGACTTTTAAAATTTTTTAGGTATAATCAACACAATTTACATCATACAGGGCCAACCTAAAATAAGAGAGTTACTTACAATGTCCCAGTAGACAGACCTAGATACGCGAAAAATATTATTCGCACACGGGAATCGAACTTTGGTCTTCTGCGTCAACGGTGAAGCGCCTAACCGGTACGCCACAGACGCTGGTTAGCTGAAGGTTAACGTCTTGTTTGACACTACAAAAGTCTTTTTTTAAGACTGAGAAAGTGTTCCCCATAAGGACACCAAGTCAATAGGAAATTATAGAGAAAAGAGGACAATAATTTGGACTCCACTCAGTTTTTTACTTCCAGTTTTCAAGAAGAAAGTCAGGCTTGAGTATTGCTGTATCGCAACTGGCTGTTATATTTAGGTATTTGGATTAGAACTTGTAACTTTATAACTTATTAACTCAAAGATAAAGTTGTTAGATCAGTGTTCACAGACGTCAAGTAAATAATTCCTTCAACAATTCGCGTGATACTTATAGCGACTAAGTTGCAGTATGTTATGGAAAATATGTGAGACATCGCGGTGGAATCAGGCGCTCGTCAAAGTAATACAATCCAAGAAACAGGTGACATTTTTCTGGCCGGTTTGTTTTAGTAAGAGTTTTACGGCACTTGCAACACAATAAGGTCATATAAATGCCGAAGGTTAGAGTCGGTGGCCTAGTGGTTAGGCTCTCGGACTCGCAACCGTAAGGTCGTGGGTTCGAATCCCGTCAGGGGCCCGATGTTGTGTCATTGGGAAAGGCACTTTACACAAATTTTCCTCACTTCACCAAGGTGGGAATGGGTACCCGGCTATAGACAGCGAAAGATCTTGTCAGTTTGTTAGTGTTTGAGCGCTTAATCAGCTGCTTGCGCTGTATGCTTCCCGGGAAGCTGAGATTAGAGAATGTTTCGGACTGTTCTATGGTCTGCTGGGGTAATAATATAGTGTAAAGCGCATAGAGCCTGCTGTTGAGCGGGGATATGCGCTATACAAACGCTGTTTATTATTTATTATTATTAAGTTACAAGAGAGTAACAACACGTAGAAAAAGAAGGAGGAGAGTTCAGGGCGATAGAAATTGATAGGAAAGAAGGAGCAAACCACACCATAGCACCCGCCAACCACCCACATTAGTAAGGTTTTACGTTGCTCGCAACTGCATAAGGCCATACAAGCGCCAAATGTCCATTAAAAAATAATAAATATTTCTGAGTACATTTTTACAGAAAATCGTTGATGAACAAAAATGTAAATTTTCACTTTCCAAAGACTCTCAAGCTATGGAAGTCACCAAACTTTAGCGACCATTTTCTCGCTAATTTTAACCCTGAAACCAAGCGATCCCCACCTCCTTCAATCGCAAATATTTCGACTTCTATTCATGATAGAAGTATATTTTTTCTTTCACAAGCAAAATAAATGAATAAGCTTTCTAATGTTATCAATAACTCCACTTGTCCAAAAACTGACGAGCGCCTGATTCCACCGCGTCGTGACACATATAATCATGCTCCCAACTCTAGGAACAATACTAACAGTTAGTTGTCGAGAATCTTTATTTGCAACTGTAAAACCTAAAGAACACGACAGATTCCATTTTACCCTCGTTTGTTTTGTTGTCAATGAAAGTTTATTTCTCGCTTTTTGTTTTGCTTTCGAGAAAATTTTATATCCCAATTTGGTCTTGCTTTCCACGAAAGAAAGTGTATTTCCCGTTTTCGTTTCGCTTTCCAGGAAAGTTAATTCTCGTTTCTGATTTGATTTCTTCTGTATTGTTGATCTCAGCCTTTTTTTCTATTTTTATCAGATATATTACGTCAACGCCATTCAATAATCATTTATATCGATTTCTGGAGATTTCAAGACAAAGGTGTTTTTTTCGAATAAGATATCAAAGGGGATCTTACAGTTTTGTTCTGTTTCTTTCTTTCTTTCCTAGATTTTAAATAAAAAATAACAATGTACCAGTCTTAGTTCAGATTGTCGGCGTTTCCTTTTCAAACCATGACTAAGGTGCCGTAGGCCTAGAATAACACTGACGATATCGATAAGGCATATTTCATTATTGAGAGTAGTCAGAGATATTCTTAATTCGCTGCCCCACGAACAAATGGCGTATATTCCTAGTGCGGTCAAAAATTCGTGGCACAACTTATTGTTAAATGTTACCTAAACTATCGAAAATGAACACTCCATCTTTGGCACGCTGACTTGTATCCATTTGTCTTAACAGGTCAATATTTTTGTAAACACCTGTGAGCTGTATTCTAGAAAATTCCTTTATAAATATACTAATTCAAAAATCCAAGTGGATGGTTTCTACAGAGTTTTTAAAGTTTACAGTTGGGGAAATATTGCTATTAAAAGCAAGTCTGTTATTTTTTTCTAATCGTGACGCTATCTTTATTGAACGCATGTTTTAAAAACCTTTAGTGCAAAAAATTGTGTTCACAATAAAATTATTTTCTTGTAACACAAGTTTTGGCTCTAAAAAGTGTCATTGGTGAGCTGTGACGTAGGTCATATTATATATTATGCGTATACGAAATGTGTGCGAGAAGCGGGAACTGCTGTGAACAACCCCATTTTCGGCGTGATGGAGATTTATAGTATTTTATATAATAAATTTAAGAAGAATTTTTTTTTCAATCTAGCCTCAATTGTTGTAGCAAAATATGAATCAGTTAAGGCAAATAGATACAAACTGCTGTACAAAGTACGGATGACAATGATTTTCCCGTTAAAGAGATATTTGAGGATAAGTTTCGCCACGAAATGTTGACCAGTCTATAGTTGGACGGTTCCTCTTACACTGGTATTTTTTTGTGGTCAGTGTTTTACGGCGCTCGGAACTACATAAGGTCATATGAGCTCGCGAGACACATTAAATTTTTTCAGTTGGTAGGAACTTTTGAATTTTGCCCAGGTGGCGGCCAAAGCCTACTCTTATCGATTTTAGACCACCAATGGGATCTTTAACGTGCGCAACTTGCACACGGGCCCTCCGAGATTTTTCGCTAGGTGTAGATCTTTCCAAACAGAAGATCAGGGGTGTGGCTCAAAGACAGCAGTAAGTAGTAAGAAGGGAACAATGAGTAGTAGACGAAAGACTGCAGAAAGAATCAGGAGCCCAGAGAAGTAGGCTAAGGAGGTGAGAGGGTGGGGGCAGAAAGAGGAGACGAAAACAGACGACAGAACATTGCAAGAGAGCAGGAATGGAGGTGAAACGAGACAATTTAAAATAAGAACATTTTTCTGTCGCTACCCGGATTCGAACACGGAACTTTTGAATGAGAGGCCAACACCTTGACCGCTAGGCCACGAGAGCCCCCCTTACACTGGTATGACGAGACAACCAAACTTTGCCCTCAATGTGACTTTTGTCTGTTCTCCAGTTGTTTGTCCAGGTTCTCTATCGTCACTGATAATTTTAGAAACAACCTCCCCCCCCCCT